AGTGCTTCAGAGGGAAAACATTTACTTTTTAATCCACTTCTGAACATTTTTCTTTATGGCATTTTGCTTTTATCTGCCAGTTGACAGTTAAGAGAGAGAGAGACACGAAACAAGGTTACAGAGAGAGGGGCATGACATGCAGCATGACCTTGGCTGGAACCAAACCTGGACATTGCAGTTGTAGTATGCACCTTAACCACCAGACTACTGGAGCACACCACTTCTATACTCTCCTATTACAGAACTTTTTCTGAAGTTTTTACTGTCAACATTACATATAGCTGATATAGGTGTAAAATTACCAAGAATAGTTTATATAGTGGTTTTAGTAATGCTTTCTGGACCTTTTCTGTGTTTTCTGTCCACCTGATTAATGAAGTCTAATATTCACTTTTAGCTTTGTTTCGGCCCCCCACCAAATATCTGGCTCTGTAACTGCTAAATGTTCCACTATCTTCAGCAGCTAGTCACTAACTGTGCCTGTCCTCTATTAGGCAGGTAGGTGTTAGTACAGTGGGTGTATCAGAGCCTATTTGCAAAAATCAGCTTCCTGCTGCTGGAAACAAGGTTGATGAGAGCAGTGAGACTTAATTATACAGTAAATATGCTGCAAAACCAAAACAGTGAGTTAAAAGAAAACATTTTTTTTTGTAGTCTCTCCTCTCCTACTGCATGAAAGGAAACAATTACAGCCCTGTCTGTTTCTCTGTATTTTTCTTGGATAAATCAGTGGGTTGTCACAAGTTTGTGCTAAAACTGGAATTCCAAGAATTTACTATGGACTTCTAGCCATGTTTTGTCTGTAGCGTGAAGATAACAATGAAGGCACACAACACAATTACACACACCTTGAAGAGGCAGATACTGCTTTTAGCTATTTGAGGCTCATACTCATAATGACAGAGGGTATCAGAGTTGGTCTGGGGGTCACAGTGTGACAGCAGGGGAAGATGAAAGAAAAGAGATAAAAGCTGATCTTGGATAGGGCGCTACGAGAGATTTGGCTAGAACACAAAACTCCCACAGAAAGATACATCTCCAGAGTGAGCTGCAAGACATGAATGCAAGGTTTCCAGCTGAGAAGAAAGAGAGAAAAACAGTCCAACAGATATGTCATCAATACATCTGCAGAGATGCTGGTAGTCATGAAGATGGTTAGTTAACATGTAATCACAATGTGATACAAAAATAGCAACCTTTGCGCTCTGCGTGTTGGTTAGGGGAGACAGAGAGAGTGAAAGCCCCATGAAGAAGTTCTCGCAGCATCATATTTTTCGATGGAGGGATGGAATAATGAACTACATGGACGGAATTTGGAAAATCTGATCCCCATCCAGCTCACACTCGCCTCAGTGACCACACATAAGCCACAGTGCTAATGCTCTGTGGGGGAATGTTGCTCCGCATTTCAGGAGTTTGAGCTTTAGAGATGCTTTAGTTGACAAGCTCCTTATGCACTTATGCTTTGGTAATAAATCAAAGTTTTTTAGGATTTTTGGTCTAGAAATAGAGATGGACTTACACAGTATGTGTTGATAAGGGCCTAAAAACACAATTTCTTAATAAGCTTCCTACTCTAAGTGATGGAATCCTTTCCCAACACATTATTCTCTTCAAAAGAGAGGAACATACTGGTTATTTCATTCATTCATTTCATTTGTCTTTTTTGTCTGTGCTCTTCTTCTGGTTTGAAGGTGAAGTCCTTTTGGTAAAAGGTGATGTCAGCTATCCAATCAGAATTTAACAATATTAGAATCAGAAACAGGCTGTGTCTGAAGTCCCTCCCCGTTTACTAGTTAAACTTATTTGTGACTCAAGATGTTTTTTAACTTCTTCTTAAATGAAATTTGATTTTTCAAATTTTTTTGCCCCTGTTTCTCATATATATATATATATATATATATTTACTGCTATAATTAAATGCTCAGTATGTAAAATAGACATTTGACATGTGAAATGTTTAAAAAAAACATGAGCCTAATATGTGAAATTACTTTTAATAAACACGTATGTGCTATAAAATTCTGGTTATAAATTGTTTCCTAGACTCTACATCTTTATATCTTAGGTCTTTTTTCTGATCCCAGTTTCTCACCAACACTGTTACTTAGTGGGGGGAAAAAACATGTCAACTTTTAATTGAATGATAAATAACCTCTAAAGATGCCTCTCCAAGTATGTCAGTGTGTCAAATTCCAAAATATGAATTACTTCATAGCTAAATTACCAAGATATTTCTGTGCTTTTTAGCAGCACTGGCTCTGGTTCTGGCAATGTCGGCCTCTCAGATGCCTGGTTGGTTGGCCACATTGGTCCCGACTGCCTTTTTTCTCTAACTAACTGACTTTTCTGAAGCCACTGCATGTGGGGTGTAGATGACCTGGGGAAAAATATGGAGTGGAACAAAGCTGAATGGATGTGAGTGAGGGGGAAATTGTAGAGAGAATAACCAAACAATTTTGCCATTTGGGGTTTTTTGTGAAGGTTCTCTACAGCTTTTTGGATGGATTGCCATGAAATTTGATATACGCATTTATGTCCCCATCGGGATGAATTGTAGCCCAATCACTTTGGTAATCCTTTGACCAAACACAAACCTAATGACATTCCCAGCTCTTGTATGGCAGCGAAATAAACTGCTGTATTGTATGTCTGCTTCTCATTTTGATTTATGTATGTTTGTGGAGAGGGTGTTATGGAGCGAGATATTCTTTTTCTTTTTGCATTTCTCTAAAATTCCTTTTTATTTTGACTTTTGTGTCCATGAGAAAATTCCGTCAATTAATCAACATAAATATTCAACTGAAAAAGAAGAAATGCTGCATTTTACTGCAATACTGTTATTTTCTTCTGGATTGGTATGTACTCTTTGCGATGACCTCACCCCTCCAAACATCAACATCACATTGTGCTTTTGTTCCAGCACATGCTACTACAGTACACGTGGTATTTACAGCCAACATAATCACAGATTACTATAAAATAATGGGTGGACACCCATTAGTTTGTGTGTCATGACGAGGCGCAGTTTGACAGTCTAGCGTCCATAAAACATTAATTAGATTTCTGACTGTGCTTCATGCTGAGGCCGTAGACTGTTCCAGACACTCTGGCTGTCTGACAGTGAAAACTCCTCTGCTGTTTCTCAGCAACAGAGTCGGTGGTTTGTTCTGTGTCTCATATCCACGGTAACTAGCACCAGGCGTTAAATTTAGAAGCGTTTGCATCGATATGAACAAAGGGTTTGTGATTCTCAATCAGCAAGTGATTCAAAAGGTTACTGAGCAAATAAATAAATTCTCAAAATGATGATGTTGTTCCTTGGTTTGGCAGCAAATTACATTCACCTTCAGGGTGTAAAAAGTGAGCTGCAGCACAGACTCTGAAAATGCTCTGCTTTAGACAGACATTACAGATTGCAGGTAAAGGGAAAACAGAGAACAATACAATCCAATGAAGACAAGTGGATTTGTCACAGATTGTTAAAAGATAAAAACAACTTTTTAAAGCTAAGCATTGGGCTAAACACCGTTTTTGGACTGTAAATGTGGACTGCCTAAAACTTTTTATATTGATCTTTTTAATGGATGGTAACATGACTTTGCGACTGAGAAGACAAAATACAAAAATACTCAATAAGTCTTTCGTAAAATTGAAAATACAGCTGGTAAGTAAATGTTAATGTTCTGGCAAACAGTATTTTTCTTTACCTTAAATAATCAAGGTCCAATTACCAGCTTTTTTGGAGATTTCAGCTGCAATCTTGTGGTCTTCATCTGTGAATGAAACTGGATCATCTGTCCTAATTATGGAACCTTGGTCATGTGACAACAGGTGGTCATACATGGGGGAGACACGTATGACCACCTGTTCACTTATGGTCTAAATTGATCTTCATGATTGGAAATTATAATTTGTATTCATTTTTAATGACAATGAGGTAGTCTTTAAGACATAAATAATACAATGTTTTTAAATCAGACTAGCTGTGTTTTAGGGGACAGCTAATGGGGATCCTTACAAATAAACATAAATAAACATAAAACATAATACATACAATAAATGGGCTGGTATGGCATGTTGTTAATGTAATTTTATGTTTAGTTGTTTTACTGTTACTGTCACCTTTCTTTTCACTTTGAATAGAGCTCTGCCTTTTGTAACGGAGGAGTTCAATAAAGGGAAAAATATGTGACTTGCGTTGTTCCTCCAGTTGCCGCTACAACCATGGCTCAGTGGGACGGATGTAACAATAGGTGATGATTGGATGGATCAATCAGTAAAAGGGTGTAAAGACATTTTACCAAGTGATCAAATGAAAGGAGTGTCATCTCTGTTCACTGTAATTGCACCTCAGGGGACAATGCTTTCATCCACAGCTGTCTCCTGGAGACCAGAGGATGTGCTTCTGCTCACATGAAAGAATGTGAGCAAGACTATTTTTTCCCCTCACCTTCCAATCAGGAAAAACCTTTTTAAATATTTTGCAGTTGTGGCTGGTATTTAAAATTATATTATTATAATTGTAATTGAACAGAATCACAACCTACTGATGAAAATAATTATAGTGGAACAATTAAGAGCAGACCATACAAATAAGGTATAATATTTATATTGTGTGCAATGAATTAAAGAATTCGATTTTAGGATTTAGTGGCGTCTAGCGATGAATTTACAGATGGCAACTGAACACCTCTGCTGTTTGTATTTGGTGGGAGGGGTGGAAAACGTGATGTTATTTCTGTTTGTCTCATGTTTTTATTTGAGTCAAAAAATAATTGGATTTAAAAATATATATATATAATAGCCTATTGTTGCAAACAGCAAGAACCACACAGGTGATGAAAATGCTTTCTTCCTCATTAACTTAAACTTCGTTGTTAGGGGTCATATTTAGAAGCAAATGAACAAATAAAAAACCTGTGTTTGCTCTAGCTTTTAGTGCCGGGAAAAAGACATGCCGTCGCCATGGCGACACTTCCGTCAACTGAATCCTGTTGCTAAGCGGTACTCGTTGTCACTTCACTCACAGTACCGTAAGTTAGGTTTCAGTAACGTTATAACGTTATAGGTTGTTCACGGACAACCTGGCCCACTCCAGTGTAGTTCAGTAGTTGTCTGGGTGCTACAATGACTGAACAGCCAAACACTGTGCGGAATAAAGTTGGAAAATGTCTGTTGCACAACTGGACAGAAGAGGTGAGTGCAGCTAGTGCGACCAGCCAAACGTTATCAATCTGCAAACAAACAGCGTAGGAACAAAACCATTATAATAATGATAATTAATGTTGTGCAAAAATGTATTGTTAGTTAGACCTAAGAACCAAATTCACACAGTATGTTTGTGCATGTTACCAGTAGACAGTAGAAAGGCCATTGTCGTTATAGTGGTGGACCTGTGGAGTCAGCTAAGTCAGCCAGTTAGGTTTTAGTTACACTTGTGTTTGACAAATGTGTAAGTCTGTAAAAGATGCCAACGTTTTGTTTGTGTGTTTGTTTGTTTGTTTGTTTGAACTAGTCACATGCTGTTACCAAAAAAGGTGTAGTATTTAGGTGGGGTCACATAACGTTACTCCCCAGTGTCACACCAACAGACCTTTTTCACAGCAGCCATTTTGACATGAAATACTGGTAGTAGGGTAAACACAGGTGTTACCAATGATACTAATTAGGGTTCTGTTCCTTTTAGTTTTTAGCAGAGCCTTCCCAGTGAGCCAGCATGCACAATAGCAGCACCCAGACTCTGTTTGACCTGAATTTGAACCTTAATTTGTAACACGTGTTCTCTGCTATTTCATGTCAAGATGGCTGCTGTGGAAGGAGCCACTCTTCTGTCTCACCATCGTGTGCTTATCCTCACATCATTAGTCACAACAGAGTTTATATAATGTTCACATGTTGTTTAGACTATAAGTAGTTTGTGGTCTGTCTTGGTTCAGTGGTATTGTCTTTCATTCAGTGGTTGTGTGCATACTTTACTTTTTTTGGTATGTGTCATAATATCTGTGTGGCTGCAGTCACTTGAAAACGTTGAAAAAAATGTTATTCACCCTCTTGTCTTATTAGGTGCTCCGACACAGATGTTCTCAGAGGTTCCCAGATCAGTCCAAAACCCATCATTGCTTTCATATAAGATAGACCATTTTTGTCTTTCTCTATAACAAGCAAATCTTTATTTTTCCTTATTAAAATAAAAAATGTTGCAGAGGAATCTACTTTTGTCCGACTAAATGAATAATGTTAGTTAATCCGACAAAGAACACAGATTCAGAAGAATGCGTATGTATATTTAAAGACAAAACTAAACTTAAAAAGAATAACTGAAGTGTACAATCAATCATGGTCTTTACAGAGGTAGTATTTATTGCATCGCTTCAGATCTCAAAATGTTCGTATTTTTACATCTAAACCTTGAATGTCTATTTATCCAGAGGCTCGTTGCAGATCTTGACACAGAGGAGACGAAGACACAGATCCAGAGACATGGACACAGGGGGATTCTCACGATTGACCAGGAGTCTAAACTGGAGAACGTCACCACGTTTAAAGCAGCTTACGTCCCTCCCAAGAGTCCCGGGGTGAGGCTGCGGGGTATGTGTCTTTGTCTTTCACCAGCAGTAAGAAACTATTGTGTCTTTCATGCCATTATAACCGATGTATAGAATAGACATATTTCAGAGGAGTTGAAAACATTTTATTCAGATGGACGAGTCTTGAAGAATGTAGTATTATAGCTTTGATATAGACAGTGAAGGCTGCTTTGACCTTTTTTATATATTTTTTCAGTTTTTTATATTATCGTTCAACAGATCTTTTTCAGAGGATTTGCTATGCATGCTCAGTTCATCTCCTCTTTTCTGTTTCCATGGTTCAGGTGTCAGAAGCGAGCTTTTGGAAAAACACGTCGCCCAGATGATAAGGTAAATCAACTATGAAACAAGTCTTTTGATTCTAAATAAATTATTGCTGGAAGTGGTTTGTTTATGGAAACGGAGAACGCTGCAGCACCGTGTCTTGAGGAAAGAAAACAGAAAAGAAACATGTTGGAGGAAAGTGATGTAATATTTACACGTCTGGATTTGTTTTACTGTTCAATCGCAGCTGTAATACCCTTTAAATCAGATTTTATGATGTTATTTTACATGGAGGCCAGTCATCCTAATGGGCTTTATAGAGTCTATCCCCACAGATGTGGTTATGAGCATCCCGCACGAGTTAACTGCTCATAAAGAATACAAAGCATCATGTCTTCGATGAAAACGGCTTGTCCAGCAGCAGACAGTGTCTCATCACTCAGTCTTGAGCCATACACTACATTTCCTGAACTTTATAGGAACACACCAACGCTGCTTGATTCACACCGGGCATCCTATCCAGCGTTTTCCTAGGCTGATCGGTTGTTATGTTAAACACAACGGCATTTAGAATATGTGAATTAACAGCCAGATCAAAGGTTTGAAGACTGGAAGGGTTTTGTTTTTCATGGCTTAAATATCACATCAGTCTCTCTGAAATTTTACTCCGATGTATATGAACATTGAATTAAATCATATGTGCAAGGAAAATGAATGTGTTACATCACCAGTCTTAAAGGCCCTTCATACCGTTGTTTCACTCACTCAGTTGTTTGCACTGATTAGAATTCTTCTCAGGACTGCGTGTGCTGCCTCACTCTTCTTGGCTTACACCTGTTAGGACTGGACAACTTACACCGTGCACCATATCTGTCAATACAAGTCACTTAACTGTATCCTCATTTTTCTGACTTGTGTCTTATGCTGCATTCAGGCACTGCTGTCTGATCAGCATCTTGATATGCCACACCTGTGAGGTGGATGGATTATCTCGGCAAAGGAGAAGTGCTCACTAACACAGATTTTGACAGATTTGTGAACAATATTTGAGAGAAATAGGCCTTTTGTGTACATAGAGAAAGTCTTAGCTCTTTGAGTTCAGCTCATGATGAATGGGAGCAAAAACAAAAGTGTTGCGTTTATAATTTTGTTCAGTGTAATAGTAAAAAGGAACATTTAAATGAACACTTGTAACTAGATGGTGAGGAGGAGAACATGAACATTGGTGGTAATATTAACTAATTTGTCTGCACAAATGCAGTCATATGGTGACGTGGCCTCTAAGCAGGCTGATTTGCTGCAACAGATTTCTGATAGACAGTCAGATGAAAGATGAAAGAAGTCCTGGAGGACAGGTTCGTGTGTCTTTGCTAAAGCCTCAACCCTCATCACTCATCAACCCCCAAAGCAGACATAAGAGCAATGGAACATCCTTAATGATGGTGGATTTCTGGATCACAAATTGGCACATACCCTATTAGTACATGAACTATGGTGACTTCATCCCAACATGACTCCGCCCAACTTTAGCTGAGGTCTGCTCAGCCAAAAAACGGTGAAAACACTTGTGTGGGTGTGAAGGACCTTTGAGTAGATTCTATAGTAGTATAAGTTTATTTCCCTAATAATTCTATTATTTTATCCTTTGACAAATACTTAATTGTGCTGGACCACAAAGAGTGAACCAGACCAGCTTTAAAGATTTACTGAAAATAAAACACAGAAAAATAGCAGATTTTTAACAGTAATACTGTGGTGCTGATGGGCCATGGTCCATGTGCCAGACCAGTGCTGCTGCTTGGTACCAAAGTACTCAAGACCAAATAAAAGTAAGCACATTTACTCAAGTACTGTACTTTAAACACGCTTATGTGTGAAAACATACACATAATGTTGTGTGTTTTTTATCTATTTTACATTAGTACAGTTTAGAGGTACTTCAATTGAGTATTTTCATTTTCTGCTACTTTTATTTAAGTAAAAGATGTGATCTTCCAACACTACCAGATACTGAGGACATCTTGTTTTCACAGTGAGCAGATTCATGCTGAGCGGACACCACCGACTCCCAAAACTGAATTCTGCTCCACAACTCAGACAGATTTCTGTGTGGAGGGATTTGTGCCTCTCACCCCTGAAACAACACAAGTAAGTATACTCTGTGTGCGTGTGCAAGTTCATGAACAGTGATGAGATCAAATCTCTTGTGTTGAATCCAGAACAATATGTTGTTTATTGTTATACAGAAAACACAACTTCGCTGGTACTGGTATTAAGATGTTGCACAATATGTTGCAACAGTTTGATATTTGCATGATTGTGACTTGTGTGTTAAGTGTGTTTTCATCTATTTTACATATAATTGCCTGTGCCTGTTTCAAATTACTAGCCAATTTGAAAGGAAACGAGTGTAGGACTGACTCTAAAGTAGACATCCACTGCAGTGTACAGTGCAGCTATAACTGCACTCGTTTGAAAGAGTTATTAATTACAAGCCAGTCATGGGCAATATCATCAAAACCATGAGCTGTAGTAAATGATCCTGTACTTGTATACCACTACACTCAATGCGCTTTTACACTACATGCCACATTTACCCTTTCACACACACTGTAGCACACACACTGATGGCAAAGTCCATTGAATGGGCGACACAGCATCAGGAGCAATTTGGGGGTAAATATCTTCTATCTTTAGATACTTTGACACAGCCAGGGATTGAACCAACAACCTTCCGATTAGTGGACGACCTGCTCTACCTCGTTAGTGCTTCATATGACGAGACGATGTGTCTAATGTTATCCTGAGCTGCAGTGATGGATTAAGAGAGTAAAAGCAGTCTACACTGTTAGAAATCTTGTTAGAAATCAGCAGCTGTCTGCATTCATTAGGCTGGTAGTGTGGTAAAGTATAATCATCATTAGTGTGATGATTGTTAGAAAGCCTGTTTTGTACCCAGAGTGGACACGTGGTTGTGCAATTGTTTTTCTTCTACAGACTCTTTGACATAATTATGATGTGAAGCTGAGTGATTCTTCTGCTGTGTTAAAAACTCACTATGTGTTCTTTATTTCTCGTCTCTTTATTGCAAACTCAGTACTTTGGTCCAGGTCAGGATCCTGTAGGAATGATGTTGCTGTGATCCTTTGAACTTAACCCACTCCAGAGCAGTTTAGCTGAGCAGCATCGGTTACCATGGTGATTTAGCCAGGTTATAAGTAAGCCAGATACCAGTTAAACCCGAAGACTGCTGGCTGACCCGTTACTCTCTTACAGGAGAGGTGTGTTTAGACTGATGGGACTGTTGGCGTGTTTTTGGATCATGTACAGATATACTCACTGTAGCTATGTTGTATAGTAGTTGCAGTTGTTTGTGTTTTCCTCTCATCTTTCCCTCTCTTTTAATAACATAAGCAAAAAAAAGGGCAACAGACAATACAAACAAACCTAAAGAAGCCTGTAAAAGTAGAAGACTTCTAGGAAGACTACAGTCAAACAGAAACAATGCAGATCACAAGTCCATTATTGTCTTTGACAACATTGGATATTTCTCAGCTCCTCTGAGGTATAATGTCGTCCTTGAAGAAGGAATGCTCCTCATCAACTGTAGAGGCTGAGTGTTAGACGTAGAACCAGAAAATAACGTTTTCTTTTGTAAAAACTTTCTATGATCATTAATACACAGATAAGAATTACAATTCTAGACCATTCTCATAAGATCAGCTGCCACTCTATATGACGACTCCAACAGCTGCAGCAAATATGTCTGGACAATAAGAATATTCATTATGATTAAGAATTGATGTATGTATTTATTATTAAGAACGGTAACTAGAGACCAAATGTAGCCCAGGTTGTAGAAACTAATCATGACAGTTTTGATAATCCATGAATTGTCAATTAGAAGAGAATTAACAAAATTAGCTTTTATTGTTTTAGATCAGTGTAAATAGAGTCTTCTTATTTTTTACTTGTTGACTGGACTAAAAGCAGTTTGAGGACCTCACTTTGAGATCTGGGAATGTCTGATAGGCATGTGTCATGTTTTTCATTTTATACACAAACAATGAATCAGATTTAATCAAAGAAAAGGTAGATTAGTTAATAATAAAATGAACCCTTGCTGAGCAGCAGGAAGAAAAGCCCCCTCACAGTGCCGTTCATTTGACAGTGTGTTCTTGTCGTCTCGTTTCCAGGTTTATGATTATAAGACTGACCAGGCCGTCACATTTTGGAGTGAAAATTACCAGCAGATACAGGTATGTCAGACTTTTTGGACTTAGCGTGTCATGTTTTGTTGTTTGTTTGCTGATGTTGATGATTATATTCTTGACTAAATACTAAAAACACATGAACTATTTTCAGTTCCTTTTAAGGGATTTATTTATGGGCCAAAAGGAGTCAGTTTCTCTCGCTGACGCTGAACACTTGTGTCTGTAGTTTGTCCGTGCTTAGTGTCGTCTTTAGAAATAATGTACCTCCACTAATGGCACCATATAATGTCCGACAATAACAACAGCAGCTGCTGCTCTTAGAGTTGCATGTATCCATGTAGGTCAAGAGGAGGAAGTGTATATACTCTACTGAAAGCTCTTTCCCTCATTACTCCCTCTCTGCTCTGTGCAAAGTGTCCTCCTTTATTATTTTGTGTCTGTAATTATGATTCTGTAGTCTTCATTTCTACTAAGCACACATCCTGTACAGTAAGACTGATCATGGTTTAACATTATCTTTGTGTTGTTTTGTGTCACAGGGGGTGACCGCCGTACAGACCCTGAAAGCACCTTTCAGGAAGTCAGCCCTGTTCAGCACCCCCATCAGTGAGCGGCTGGATGAAATCGATCTCCCACCTGATAACTGAGACAGTATGTCAGATTCTCCCATTACAACACTTCATTAGCAGTTGATATTAAAGAGCTAATCCACTTTAAAGGCGGTCATTGTCGAACCTGAAAACAAGCACAGAATCTTCTCTTGAGAACAGTGCTGTCTAGTATATCTTCACTACATATGTATATACAAATGCTTATTACAATGAAATGAAATACCAGGAATCTACAGCAGACACTGAGCTGATGTTATGTTGACAAATCACAGACAGCAGTACACTGACATTTGGACTTTAAACCTGCCAAATAAACTATCCCTGAACCTGATAAAACACACTAACAGGTTCTTCCATGTTTGGTTTTCTGAAAATAATTATTTACGGTATCTGTCAGCACTGTGTGTAACTCTGGTGAGTATTGAACCAAAGCATTAACGCAGAGCAGAGCGCAGCCAGTATACAACCAGTAAAAGAATGAAGAGACAGAGCTGCAGTGCTCCTCATTCTTCTGTCTTATCTTGCTCCTCGTTTGACCGTCCTCTGACATATTCCTCTCCTTTTTTCCACTCCACATTTTATGTTGATGGAGTGTAGATGTCCTATGTCTGTTGGGCCAAACTACCAGTTTGCTGCTGCCACTTCTGGAAATATTAACCACATCATTTTCAGTGCATTCACATACATGTATGTATAAACATTATAACCACGTCATGTAAATGCTTTCATGAAGTGGAAACAGACTGAGCTTGCTACAGGAACAGACTGTATGACCCACTGAAAGTGAGTAGAAGAGGTAATATGGATGACATATGGAGACAAATGCTGTGTGAATAATGGTGTTAATTACAGTGTTACCTGTAAAACTAATGAGTGACAGTAATGATGACCTAAATTCTATAGTTGTCATAGATAACAAGTTCACACATCTGGAGCCTTACAGAAACTGGCAAGATTGACGTTGAGCACCATGGACTTACAAGTCCCACAGTATGGCTCCTTATTACAACATGTAATGGCAGTAAGGTCTGTTAAAGGACCAGTGTGTAGGATTTAGTGATGTCTAGTGGTGAGATTGCAGATTGAAGACAACTGAAATCCCTTGACTCAACCAACACACAATTCTCCCTTTAATCTAAACTGCATGAATTGTAAAAGTAAGATGTGCAGGTAGGTTTGTTATACCACTTTAATCTGTGGATGTTTTGTGATTGGCTGACACTACAGACGTTTGCTACCAACTGATTTATAGATAGATCCAGGTCATGATATTAAAAGTTAGTTTTTTTTAAGAGTGACAACAGATGCAGCACCTCTGGTAGCCGGACTGTTTGTACTGTTTCCTCACACTGCCTTGGCATCACCAGAGCGTTGTTTGTTTACAGGCTCCATTCATCTTTTTGTATCATTTCTCTGTCGCCTTTTGAAACCTCTAATTATTGCAATCGAATGGTGCTGAGGAACAGAAAGCCGCACTTTCCTCCCACACAGAGTAAATATCTTGCCATTGTCCTTGGAGAAAATCACAGGAAAACCTATCAGGGCTCAGCAAATAGCCCAGAGAGTGCTTCTCCACCTTTACCAAGACCTGTGCTCACAGGCCCATAGCTTGCACATGTGAAACACAATGCCTAGTTTGGAATCACACAATCATGCTACAGATTCACATATGTGTTTTGTCGATCAGAGGACAATTCCAGGCGCTGCTGATCCTTTCTGAGCTTTCAACAGGGATTAGTAGGCGGTAGCTATGGCGACAAGTAATTTTAGCTTATATTTATGCAGCTTTTCTCTCCAAACATTTCATTATCTCATGGGATGATACAGGAAAACCAATTCGCGTCTGAAACACAAGGCCTTGCAGCAAATTTGTACTTAACATTTCTAATGAAATGCGACAGCAATTTTCTTTTTCTTTAATTTCAGTTGTGTCTCTGTTTTTTTGTCTGCGTATCATTTCGGTCTTTTTTGCTAAAGAAAGAAAGAGCTCTAAATAGGACATTAAGGGGAATCTGTGTCATACTGTATTGGGGTGGATTTTCCTGATCTGAACCCTCAGGTGAGCCAGTGACCACTGACTTTTACGCATAGACCTTGTTTTGACAGCATTGACGTGATGATATTTCCGAAGAAGGTCCTAACTAGTCTTAGTTTGTGCCTCTCATGTAGAAGAATTACATTCTAGTGACAGAGCGAAACATCTGCTTTCTTGTAAAATAAATCTTTGAAAACTTCAAGACATTTACAGCCGTTCTGCAAGTATTTTTATAATCCTTAAAACCTTCTAACTCTGGATTAAACCATCTGTCTACTACATAATAAAACTTTTTTTTTCCTAAATTGTGTCTGATTCCTAATCTAAATAAACATGGTGCCCAGAAATGACATACTGTATGTTAAGGATCGACCCATATGGTTATTTCAGGGCCGATACTAGTGATTGATCAATTACCTGGTCGGCCGCTGTCTTCAGACTCATCTGTAGCCTTGTCAGTGCGGCTGCCATGGAACCATGTTATTGCTCCCCCTTGTGAGTTTTGGGAAGGTGGTGAAGAAGCTGTTTTCGAGCCCTGTACAATATCTCTGATGTATCCTGCTGTAAACATACGCCTACATTTCCTATAAAATCAAATAGAATTCTACATGACTTTTCTTTGTTTTGATAGCCGTATGTACTATGATACTGTATGTAAGTACAGTTCTGAGGTACTTTATTTGACTATTTGCATATTATATTTATCTAGATTTATGTAACATTTAATTATTTTATATTTTCACACATAATAATGCATTTGTTTTTTTCTCATGTTGTACAAATTGAGCAAGGAAACATTTCACTTTCCACTACTAGACAGCTGCAAACCAGTTACAAATATATTCAGCTGATGTTTAGAGGAGTCTTTAAGGATTGTGGAAATACATTCGGAACAGCAATAAGTGACCTTGGTTTTTTCCTGTGGATTTCTCTTTGAAAAAACGGATGTGTAGCTCTTATGACTTGAATGTCATTGTGAGAAACAAACTGTATCTCCACTTAACTCTTCACTATACAACTGCTGTTTCAACAGCAGGTCAAGGACTGCGTTTCAGTGTGTATTCTGAGCAGAGAGTGTAATCACACAGAATAAAAAAAAAATACAGCAATTAATAAATCAACAACCAAAAAATACACATCACACCTCTACTGTCTACTCAACCAGCATTAACTTATCTATAATCTGCATGGAAGCCTAGATGTCTTTTCACCTCTTAAGTCACCAAATCAGATTTACTGGGAACTATTAAAGATCCTCTCTGGACATTTATTAAGAGCTACATAAAAAATAGTCAGCTAACAATAATGTGTGTCTGATATGTTTTTTTTACACACAAAAGTATAATTTCCGCATTAAAATTCCCGATAAGGCTATTGCTCCTTCTACCTCATTAAAGATTCCAGAATCTATGAATATTGTTCAAGTTTTCCTGCTGGACACAAGATGTCTCCTACTTCACTGTAAAGTCCATTCTCAGTGTCTGTGTACTGGTGGCTTCAAGTTTCACACTGTACAAGTTGCATACTGGACCAGGGTTGACTTCCAAACTATTTGTGATGTCACAATTCATGCTTGTAGGCCCCGCCCCTTAAAATTAGATTTTCAATAAGCACAGAAAAACTTTCCACTTTCAGCAGATGAATGTGAAAACATCCTTCTGGCGTCAAACTCTGCACAGACATCATTCTTTATGAGTAACGGGGAATGTAATGTTTGTCACCTATATACAAGTTAGCGCTAGCTCACAAGACATGAAAATTCTTCAGTTATTTAGAGTGATTTTGAGAATCATTTGCCTTATGCACGCTTTCTCCACAGTATGCTTGGAGGCTTTGTACGTCAAGGTCTCGGCTGTGTGAAAAGGCAGAAAATAACACATGATGAAGATGACAGGCAGTCTGGTCAGTTGTGAGGAGTTGGCGGGTCACCACGGGCTTCGGCGGAGACCTTCGCTCTGCTCGCTGTGGCTCTAACAGGCGGCGGCGGCGTGTCACTGAGAAAGTGGGCGGTAATTACAGCCTTGCAGGAGGGGAAGCTGTTCTCCTGCAGAGATGAAACGCACAAACACACACACCAACACATAGCCACACACAGCGCCCATGCCCCCGCTGCACAACTGATAATGAGCATCTAATGAGCGGTGATGTCATTACAAGAAACAAGCAGCTGCCTGCTGCCGACTCGCTCCTTTCCAGTTCTTCTTCGTGGACAGATGACACAGGTCCACAACTGCTTGCAGTTAATTAGGCTTCAGACGCTAGTTATATTTTAAATTATAATAATATTATAATCCTGACAGCATCATGAAATGTAAAGCGGCATGGCTAATATACGTCGGATAAACCTGAACTAATTGTCACGACTTACGAGGGAGAAAAGCGCAGAGCTGATATTCAGTAGAAGATAAAAATAGAAAATCTTTGAGGTGCTGCTTCATTTTAACAGACGTTCCCTAAAGGTTACACCGGGGAGACTGTTCCTCTGCTGAACTGGCTTCTACACTTCTGCATTGTCCTGCCTGCCTTTTAAATGTGCAATTCTAGCAGGACATCCAATATTTCGGTGGCACTTGGCACAAGGTCATTTATAAATTCTTTCTGGGTTAAACTTGGATGAAATCATTTGGGTGAGTACTGTCAGGAAGATGTGCCCCAGATGTATTGTAGTTGAGAGAGTTGGAATTTAAAGTTAATGCATAAAGAACAGACTCATCAGGGCTCTTTTCTGCCTTTCTCATGTTACATCCTTTGTGGCTGCAAACATCAATAACTAACCACACTCCAAACAGCAAGCATAAAAATACAGCCTGGTCCATAAATGGAAAAAGAGCGTTTTACTCAGTTTATTGAACAAAATATCTTACAGTATCTTGGATATACATATATACATATTATCTTGTACTGTGTAACACGGTTGATGAACCCCTGCAGTGACATCAATTGTAACGCTGTGCCTCCAAACTTCAACAGATGTTCCAAGGAAATATTAATACATTATTGACTTCCAAACACATTATACAAATCTTAATATAGAAAGCACAAAAAATAAGAATTTATCAGTGAAAAGTACTCACTCTCAGGACAGAAAGGTTCTTCATACAAAAACAACTTTTACAATATTTTTTCTATTTTTTTTTGTCCTTTTCTGTTTTTTTGAAGTTACAGTATGCAGGTAATAAATATACCTGGAATTCCCTCTGTTTTTGTCACATGGTGTCGTTCTCCTTTCCTCTGCACGGAAATCACCAATAAGGACTTATTCTAGAACAAATAAAGTAGTGGCTCGGCCACCGGAGCTTCTGCTGTCGTCTCCACCGCTGCTGCCACATTATCAGCAGGCCTCTCAGATAACATACACATCAG